GAGGGAGGCAGGAGGAAGAGAAGGAGGAAGAGGGCGGGGTAGGGGGGCAGCGGATCAACCGTGTCCAGCTCCCAGCATGTCCGAACGCCTGTGTATATCCGTGCACCCGTACTTTCTCGAGTGCACTCCGCTGTGGAAGCTGCGTTGTCCTCCTACCTGTCCGTCCGGCCTTTTCACGAGTGCTGACATAGGGAAACAGTGGCAAGCGGGCGCTTCCTGCCCTGGATCCTCCGGGGACGGAAAATAGAGGCTTCTTTTTCCAGTGGAGAAAAGAGGAGCCCAAATTCGTTTAAAACAAAATCGGGCATGCTGGTGACGGGTCGGTAAAGTCCCCTCGCATGGTGATCCCTCCGTTCTTTTACAAAATGAGCTCTCAACCGCTTAGTGCCTCGATTCCGGCCGGTCTCCGCAGGATTCAAACTGTGTTTGTTTGTAAACGAGAGCATCTCGATCCCAGCGCTTCCTAGCCAACCTAAGCGGCTGGATAGTTCACAGCCGCAGCCGTAGCCAACAGTGGCGGGACGGTACAACCGCGCCGCTTCGGAGGTTGCTCTGAGCAGAAAAGGCAACAAAACCACAAATCGCCTCTCCAGTCCCCGACCTCTGTGCGCACACACCGTATGCCTTCCCTCCCTCCCGCAACGGGGACGGTGGAAATTATGAAAATTCTAAAGAGGTCTGAGCTGCGTCTCCCACCTCCATGCTACCACGCTCGGTCGCCCCACGTTTATTAGGGATATACCTGACTCCTTTTCCTCTCTTTCTATCTCACAACCACAGTGGTTAAATCTGAACTGGAGCAGCTCTTAGCCCTAGCTGGAAAGGAAATGTCAAAACCTGTTGCATAGATTTAGACCTGAAAAAGAGTCTTTTTAGCACCCTAAAATGTGAGTACCGTGTTTACACTCCAGCTCCTCCGTAGGCGCTTTCACTTTAGGCTGCCTTAGCCGGACTGCAGCTCGCGTGTAACTTAAGTTCACTTCCCGGAGAGCTGGGCAGAGGCAGGGCTACCCCCTTCCCGGGCACCCTGTATCAGCTTGCGTCCTAGAGCAATGGTAAATTAGTGACATCTGGATCCAAATTCTACATAACTGCTTTTATCTTTAGGGAAAGAGAAACATTTTCCTACGTGCTAGAAGTCAGAGCAGACACTGGCTGCACAGCCGCGGCGCGGGGCGAATCGCATTGCAGCGCCTTGCGAGCGAAATAGGCGATCGGGAGAGGAGCTTTTTTTGGCATTTGCGAAGCCTCTCGTTCCCTGACATTATATTTCAGAGCAGGAGGAGAGAATCGCCTGCTCACATTTGCCCCTGGACCGACAAGATGGTTTCGCCTGGCTACTGCCAGCTGTCTCCCGTTTAGCTGTCGTGGAAAGTTTCAGGCGAGCCGACCCAAACTTTCTCTCGGCTCCGCTGCCGCCGGGCGGCGGAGGCCGGGGTTCCACCCTGCCCGGGCCATCTGTCACTTTGCCGAGGGCCCGCTCGGCGAGCGCCTCACCCCTCGGCGCAGCAGCGTGCGAGGCCACCGGTGTCAGCACAATCTTTGGGAAACGTGAGTGAAATAAAAAGGCGTTTTTTATTGCGACGCTCCTTTCATTAGCTGTGACACAGTCTGGCTGAGGAATGGGGCGTGGGCGGGCTGTTTTCTCCCGAGGAGCCTTTCCTTGCGTGGAACTGCTCCGTGCTCCCGAGTGGGTGCCAAAGTGGAGCCGTAGTTATCTGAAAATCGTCTTTTCGGCTCTGCCTTCGCTTTGTAGACAGCAGCCTGTGTGGGAGGCTGCAGGCCCGCATCGTTCCTGTTAAACACAGGAGCCGATTCACCCGGGCTGCCGGACGCTTTCCCCGGCCTCTTCGACGGCTGCTTTTGCGGAGCCCCTCATCCTTCTCACCGAGCTGGGCTCGGGACAGACCTGTCACCCGCTGTCACAGGGCTGCGGACACTGTCACACGGCTCCTGCCAGCCAGCCGTGGGCTCGGCACGGAGACACGGCCGCCTCCAAGGGCGCTTTTATCGGCAGGGGTAGCAAACAATGATAAACCCCACAACTTCCACATGCCAGGAAGAAACGCATTTCCCCGCAGATATCCACTACCATAGCAAGGACTGCAGGGAGAGGAACCAAAATGACAGATAACTCCAAGTTTTCGTTTCTTTCTTTCTTTCTTTCCTTCTTTTAATTTAAAATAGTTTTTAAAATTAAAAAAAAAAATTCTTTCCTTTGGCGGGGACTGCAATGTGCTTTCCTCATAAAACCTGTGGGGTTTACCAAGACCGAAAGCCTACCGCGATGAAGCTGCTACTCCGGCTAGGTTTTCCTTTTATTTATTTATTTTTTAAAAAGCATCATAGCGACCTTTGCCGCGATACTGGGCCTACCTTCCCCATACCATCCAACCCTGGGGCTCAGCTCAGTTTCCCGGGCTCAGAAGTTTTCCCGTGGAGGGACTAGGACTTCTTCAGGCGGCCAAAGCTCACCCGGGATTCCCGGAGGCAATTTTGCAACCCGGATCCGCGGGTTGGTCCCCCTGCCCTCACGTTATTTATTCACGGTTTTATTTATTTTTCAGTTTTGTTTAAAACCCGAATCTATCCCATCAGAGATGGCACTAGCTCCTGTCTGGACTGAGAAAAGAAAGCACGGCAGAGGATCACTGCACACAACTAAATTGAGACAAACAAAAGTTGCTTGTTGTTCCCTGATTTGGGGAGAAAGGAATAATTCAAAGCTTTTGCTGCGCGCAATGCACCGTTCCTCAAGGGGACGGGTCAAGGATTTCAGATATGTAGCGGGTAACTCGATTATGCTAACAAACTCGGCTTGGAAGGGAGCGCTGGTGGCTGCGGGGGCAGGGGGGCTCCGCTGGGGGCCCAGGGGAGCGGAGCCTCTGCCCCTCGGAGATCCCCGGCCCGCAGCTCCACCGCTCGCTCTCTGCAGCGCCGAGCCCTTTCCCCGCTGGCTGGACCTGGGATGCTCGAGCAGCATCTCCGAAGGAGATGTGTTAATAATCAGGAGATGGGGGCCTGATGGGACGTGGCTGGGTCGGCCTCGGTGAACCCTCCTGCCCCCGCCCCCCGTGAAACGGGACTCCGGGGGCGGCACTGTGTGCCCAGCTCAAGGCGCTCTAACCTCCCGAGCTCCCCACGAAACACGATAGCCCCCCCAGCCGATTAATGCGGCCGGTCCTGATTACTTTTATATTATTCTTTCCCAATCTCGGGGAAGGGCCGAGAGTTTTCCCCCGGTTCTGCCATCATCACCCTCCCGGCAGTCAGCATGGACATTTATTTGGGGTGTTCCCAGAGACCCCGCGGAGCCCCCACGGCTGGGGGAGGAGCGGGGAAGCAGAAGGGGGCCCGTGCCGGTGCCCACCCAGCCCCCGCCCCGCTCCGGGCTGCGGCACCGCCTCAGATGCTCCGCGGCACGGGGGGACTCTCTCGGCACACAGTGTACAGCTCACAGACAAGACAACAACAACAACAAAAGGCACATATGGTTAAAATAAAGAGAGAGCGAGCGAGCGAGAGCTTTCTGCCTTAGGGGATTGGCAATAACCAGCCAGAAATGCAGGGTATTGAATCTAAACTTCTGGTGGGCTTCTGCGGGATTGACAACTTAAATCACACTACAAGCATCAATTTGACAATATTTGTAAACTTCTTGTTTCCAGGGATCTTCTTGATCAGAGATACCCCAGGTTGGTATGAGCTCCAGCCACGAAGGTCTCTTTTTTTCCCTCCTCCTTTCCCCTCTTCCGAGTTGATGAATAGCGATCATGTTTCTTTTAATGGCTGCCCCCTATTCTCACAGCCTCCCACAACTAACCCAAGAGCCTGTTTCCTCGACCTCAGTTAATTCCGCTGATTATTCCAAGATGATGAGGAAAGCACGAAGATTGTTCACTGTTCCTACCGATGCAGAGCATTTTTGTTACCATCTCCATCCCCGGCTCACAGGGGAGTATTTCTAGGAAGAGGCTGCCCTCTCTTCTCTCCTGCCATCCCTCCCCGGGCAGCAGAGAGCTCCGGGGGCTCGTTCACAGCGCTGTGGCTCCGTGGGTGCGTGGGGGCCGAGCACGGGGGAGCCGGGGGCGCTCAGGTGGCGGCGCAGGTGAAGCCGCGCTCCCGCCGGGCCTTTTCCCAAAGGGAGCAAACACCCCGCCACGTCCCGCGGCACCAAAACGAATTTCTGCTCCCTCCGAGGAAGGAAAGAGGCTCCTTCGGCCCCACGGGCTGGAGGCAGGGATCCACTCCGAGAAACTTCACTAGAGGGCTCTAATACTCAGCTCCCATGGCTGCTGGGAGGGAACAAGGCTCGTCCTTAACATCCTCGAGTCTCCCAGGTAGATTAAGCGCGGTAAGGTCTTCCGTAGTCTGTCAAAGGTGATTCACGATGTCATCTCCATGACAGGAAATCCCTTATCTCAGCAGCGGCCATCAGCTATCCTGCTTACCTGCAAGTGAGTGGAATTCATGTCCCCCTCCTGGTGCATAATAACACAGGAAGATTTTGGGAGCCCTTCTTCTTCTGTATCCATTGCAAGGGAAGGAAGCACAGCCTCTAAAACACCAGACAAAGGTATCCTTGCCAAGATTTAGGGACAAAGCACTATACACAGATATGTAGATTTTTTTTTTCCTTCACTGTAGAAAGAGCTTGTGTAAGATCTTCCATGGTCTGTGCTATTTTATATGGTCATAAACATCCATCTTTTAAATTCTGCAAGATTGAAATGTAATGTAATGTAGTGCCAGCAAGTAACACACAGATATTTCTGTCAAATACTGATGGATTTAACTGCAGTTTGTTCAATTTTGGAATTCTTTTTCCTTTTAAATAATTGCTAGGATTTGCCATTGGAAAAAAAATACAAATGAGATGGTATCAATTAAAACTAAAACAATTATTTGTTGCAAGGGAAAACTCATAGAATGCATTCAGCTTGTTATAACTCCAAATAGCTTTTATAATAAATAAGTAAATTGCCTAATTTGTAGAAATTAGGAAGCGCAATTTAGTTGCTTGTCATGTCTTGCAATTTTTCTGAGAAGTTTTGTGTACAGATCAAAAGTACAGGAACGGCTTTGTGGAAAACTAGATAGTTCATATAACATCAGTTTAAAACTGATCAACTTTCCTGTGGAAAATTTGGTACTTCTGAACATGTGACAATGTTCTGTATTTTCCTCTATGGTTTGTTCCAGCCTCCCTTTTGCTGAGTTAGTTCTGACCCTGTCCTTTGATGTCCTCTCCGCTTTATTTCATAGGTTCTTGAATCAGCTCAAATACACTGGGGACCTTTTACTTCCCAGAGAAAAACCTGGTATTCCTTTTCATTCCTTTTTTTTTTTTTTCATCAGTTTTATTCTCCATATAAACAAGGACTTTATTACTAGACCAAGATTGACTTTGTTGCTTATTTAAGATATAGAAAAGGCCGACTCAGTGAGCACTGAATTGGTTTCAGTCAGCTAAGTCACTTCAGCAGGCC